CTCTGTTTCTGGCGAGGAAAAGGAACAGGCACACGAAAGAAGCGCAACAAACTCATGCGAAACTTTTCTGTTGTCTCTTCTTTGAGAAACTCACAGCTCCAGGTTTATTCAAAAAAGAATTCGTCCCGCTTGAAATTGGGGAATCTATGCGCTTGAACGCACGTAGCGCCAACTCTCCTCTAACAGAAAGGGACAGAAAGATTGAAACGCTTGCGAAACGAGAGGCCGAACTACAATGAAACCCGTCGCGAATTGTCGGATACCGGCATCAAAGGCAAGTAAAAGTAAAAAGAACAGACAAACATTCCGCGCGTTTTACAAAAGGCCGGTTCGTTCCGACTGTACCCGTAACTTGTGATCGCACCTGCTCACGCTTTACCGGCTCTATTTGATGCATCTCGTCTTTCGTAAGACGCGAATCTTTGTACAAATTCGAACCGTCCCCATAGAGAACGAAAACTACAGGTGCTTAGATTTGAGAGCGTGAATCAATTTGATGACGCATTTCGCAAGTTCCGCGAAACTCTACGAGCTGAACATGTTGGGTGTGCAAACAAGTGCAGATGAGAATAAGAAGCAACGGCGCGCTCTGAGCCGGAAACGTTGAACGAAGTTTTGGGTGTCGGCGACATGGGCTGCATTCAAGCAATTCCGCCAGTACTCGTGTCGTTTTTTATCTTCATGTACCGGTTGGAAACTCCGTATGCAGAAGGTACCAGCTCGAATGATTCGACGGTGCCGGATTCATGGCCCTGCCCGAACGCCCCATTGAAAGTCAACAACTTCGACGAGACGGCAGCAGGCTCTAACGAAACGAGCTGCGAATCGGCAACGCCGAACTGCGATTGCACTACGGGAGATGTGGATGCAGCTAGCGTGAGTATTATGGGACTACATGCACTTCATCAAACTTTTTCGGCAGCAACCGTGTCGCACGAGTAACTCAAGCCGTTAGAACTCCATTTGAACATTCGAGATAACTAACACGATTATGTGGGAGGTCGAAACCCGGTAACGCGATTGTGTGTGTGTGCTTGTGTACGTGCGTGTGTGGAAAGGGGGGTATTGGCATATCTCTTAACATAAAAGATGAATAGATTAGGATTGGCCATTATTTCGTAGAGAGATACGATTGCATTGCACATATCAAGTCCACCCGACAACCCAAATTGTCTAGCATTCTTATTATATTTTTAAGCTGATGTAAATTAAAAGGTACTATAATTAAGGGGATTCCTTCTAGAAAGGTATATCTAGTACAACTGCGGGACGTATCCCTTGTACGCTTCAAGGACGCACTCCTGGGGTGGTCAACATACTTCCCAGGGACACAATATTACGCCTGAGTCATATTAGACTACCCGGGTTATGCTCTCCTCGTACAAATCGCAAGTTTTCAGAGAAACCCGGGTCAAGACATGGAAGCGAGAAAAATAAGTTGGTAGTTTTGAAGATCAAGATATAAAAGCTAAAAATTCAAAAGTCATATTCTAAACGTAGCCTGACGTCTCGAGCTCCTTTTAATATCTTCGAAAACACTATTTGTACAAGAAAACAAAAAAGGCAAACCAATTAAATATTAGAAAATAAACTGCTCTGTTTATGAAGAACTGAAATGCGAACTAGATTACTCAGTTCGTTTAAAGGCCGACGCACAACCTCGGTTTTCTGCAGGGAAGATAATTCTCTTGGCGATCTCCTCTCCTAAGCTGCAAGCGGCAAGGTAAAACGTGGAGAGAATATAGGAAAGTTGGGGCAAGGTAAAACGCGGAGAGAATATAGGAAAGGAGGAGGAGGGCAAGAGTGGAAAGCGCAAAGTGAACGTCGGCCTTTAAGGCTGAATTAGCTTCCGCTAACCGCAATAAAACCGCGTGGTCAGTGGACGCTTTTGTGTCTGTTCCTCCTTACTCCTTTCAGCGGCTCGAAGAATAGTTTTGGAACGGGAAAAGTGGTGATGGCGGCTCAAGTTTAAGAGATCAGCGAATGCATCGGCGTAGAGATCAAGAAAATCCGAGGTTGTCTGATCAGAGCATGAACGAGCTCGTCACTACGTCTTGGTTTCAGATTTTGCCACAAGCGACGAAACCGCTCGGAACGACGAACTGCCCATCGGCGGTCCCGGTACTCACGATGCGGCACCGAGCGAAACGCAACCCCCAAGTCGAGTCATCGACCCCTACTCCTCCAAAATCCCAGACGACGCGACGACACTTATGGATGGTCCTGAGACGAAGATGCTTTTGGTGTCGACGGCCGTCGATCAGGATCGTTCCGATCCGAATTCCCATGATCGTTTGGAGGCGCCCGACGAATAAAACGGCCTCTTGACGCTGAATTTCGGATGAGGTATCGATTTTCAACTCGCGCGCTCACTGGAGCGCTGTGTTTCCGGGAATATTCAATGCTCTTTCCGGAGTGGATAAGGAAGAAGAAGTACGTTTCTGCTGAGACGTAAAAGACAAAATAAAACTTAAAAAAAACCTTGTATTTTCTTTGTTTTTGTGTTTGTTTTTAATGGCAAGATTAATTGGTAAGCACGTTCTTGGTATAATTAAGTTATAACTTGTATGTTATTTCCGGTTTCCTGTATTTGCATAAAACTCATCTATATGTCTACCTACTAAGATTTAACGAGTTGGCGCGAAACATGAGGCATCGCGGCCTTATTTGCATGTAACTACACTTTGGATGAATTTAGAAACGGTATGAGGGTATGAATGTAGAACTCTTTTATATCTGCTGCACTTTCGCCTATATTCGAGCCCTACGGTGACGCGAGTTTTTCCCCAATGTAAGTCGAAATACGGTCTTAATTGGTGACTTAAATACTCCCTCCCTCCCCCCCCCCCCCCCCCCCCCCGAGATAAATAAATAAAAAATTAATAGAAAACAAAAAATGTGAGATAAAATAAAAATGACATATTGAGGCGTCCTCATTGGTTACATTTTATGCACTTCCGGAACGGAAGATAGTCTATACACCTTTCTAACGCTTATCATGCTGGCGAAAAATGATGAGCCGCAGAGCTGTGAGCGCATGCGCGAGGTCTCGTCTTATGCAGAAGAGCATTACTGCGCGTGCTGAGAACGCGTTCCAAACAACGACGGCAGCAAGCAGAAGCAATACCAGCTACAGCGTGTAAGCTAACGCTTTTAACTTTAGACGGCCCGCAAACATCGGTTCCTCAACGTATCACACTTTAATTTACTACAGAGGTGCTAGCAGGTATTCGAAGTTCATGCTACTGCGCATCGAGGGAGCGCCGGCCTATTCGGATTATGGTAGCAAACGATCCCGCAAAAGAACCCGAATCGACCGGCGCTCCCTCGACGCGGCGAAGGCCATCTGTCGGCAGCACTTTTCCCTACGCGTGCATCGTCTGCGAAGTGGCGGCGTAGATTGCCCAGGGCAGGTTTCGTTTGCTTTCTTCTAAACGAGGTAAGTTCATTCCTTGCTTTTTTTCGCTGTAATCTTTCACCACCCGCTTGCACTTCTCTAGTAAATTACAGCGCGATACGTAGATAAACTGATTTTTGCGGGCCGTATAAAGTGCCTTAGAAAAGCGTCAGTTTACATGCTGTAGAATAATCTAAAACCGCGCAGCAGCAATTCGACGTCATCACAGTGAGATGGAGCGCAGTCACGTGATTGGACACGAGTGCCGCGTCAGCGTTCGGTTGGGTCTTGTGTCCAATCAACGCGTCGAAGGACTGCCGGGGTCGGGATCGGGCGGCACCGTCTGGAATAATCAAGGCCTCCTAACGAACGTCCCACTCTCCCTCCATGAAACGTCACCACAGTCGGATGGTGCCAACTCAGCAAAGGAATCCGAGCGCGATGCCGAGCACTGTCGTAGGCAGAGCCGAACGTAGTACCGAGACACAGCCGAGGCACGCGGGGCATACGAGGCCCAGTCTTGTCTCCTTCTCACAGTGGTGACGTCAAGATTTGAGTGCACGAGCTTTGATTATTCTACAGGGTGTTTCAAATAGCGGCCAGGCTCTTTAAATTGACAACAAAAATCGGTCTCTTAACCTATTGAGCTACAATTTGGTGCAGCGTTGTCCTCGGGTTGTGAATTTTTTTCTATAAAATTTGCGAAGAGCGAACTTATCTGAGGAGGAAGTAAAAAAGAAAAAGGCTTAACTCCTATGGAAACGCAGCGAAGCCACCGGTCTTCAGACAATAGGGCGCCCTATTGTTTTTAACACCGGTGGCTTCGCGGGGTTTCCACATGGGTTAAGCCTTTTTCTTTTCTTATTTTGCTTTTTCCTCAGGTTAGTTCGCTCTTTGCAAATTTTATAGAAAAAATGCAGCACCTGAGGGCAACGCTGCACAAAATCGTAGCGCGATAGGTTAAGAAACCGATTTTCGCGGTCGATTTAAAGAGCCTGGCCGCTATTTGAAACACCCTGTACGTGGCGTTGTAAAAACGATATTATTGGAATGGTTCATGGGAGCACCCGACATGTACACGTTTACTGGATAGAAAAAATTTGACTAAATACCGTTACTTGTTAGTCGATCAAAAAGTAATCACTAAATACCTTCCTCGTTTTAAAACAACAAAAAAAAAACGCTGTAGTTTAGCTTAAAACTAAACTGTTAATTTCTCGGTACTCTAAATGAGGCGGTTTCTGAAGTAGTTGCGACCTTACGATTATTCTGTGTCCTTAATAATGCCTAGATCCTTAATGCACTAATGGGCATCATTTGTTTTGTTGTTTTTGCTACGGTGTTTTTTTCTTGTGTTTTTTTTACGTGAAAGTTACATTGGCGAGCATGGGGCGAAAACTAAATAATAGGGCAACTCGTGTTGTACACGTTCGTCTGTAGAAGTAGCTATAGATGCCGTCACTGATTAAATAATCGAAACTTCACGCAAATACGTTGCTCGTTCCTTTTCTGGGAAAACCAGCTAAATATCTACTTTTATTACCAAAAAAAGTAACTAAATCGAAGTAACTTGTCGTTAAGCACAAATTTGAGGAGGACCCACCTTTCAAGCAGATCTTTTCGAGGTAGTAGACGCCGTTCACGGGAGACAGCATGCGCTCGTGGGTGACCATGCCCGAAGCTACCGCGTCGCCCATCAGCTGGCAGTACGTGCTCGTGGCGTTCTTCACAAACGTGAGCGACTTGCAGTGGGGCTCGGCACGGCACGATTCGGCGCAGTTCGTCAGGTTAACACCGTACACGCCGGAGAAGACCTTGGAATCCAGGCGAGCGTTGGTCGCCAACATGAACACCTCCTTGCCTTCCGTGCATGGGACGACCTCCTCTTCTGCGAAGTTGAAAACAAAGAGAAGGACGTGTTTGGTTAGGACACAACATAATCTCGCCACAGCTGTGGACGGTGAAGTGTCGTTTCAACGTTACCGCAACATCGATGAATGAATTTGAATAAACGCTTAGGGACGGAAAGTTACGCACAAGGCCCTCTTGACTTGAGTCATCTGGGTCAGCGTCGTGGCAACATCGATGAAAAATTGTGTGAGCAACTATTCCACATTATCGTGGCGCTGTGCGGACAGGCTAAGAAAAAACAAAGTACTTGCTTCTTATTTTCGTGGTTTTTGCTTTGCGATTCGTTCCGCGGCGTCCTTACCAGCCAATGGCGGACCCTCGTCGCCTGTGCAGCGATATGTGGAGAGCAAGTCGTCTGCTTCTTGCGCTGGAGTTGCGATGACGTCAGAACGATGAGGAGTTTTGATTGGCTTCGATTGAAAGGATAGTGGGTAGACCTCAATGCTGGCTGCCTTAAGGTCTACCCATTCGTATTTATTTATGGTTTTTGAACAGCCAACAAGAGCTCGGCTTTCTGACATCATCGCAACCCCTTTGTAAGAAGCAGACAACCTTGCGCTCCGCATTGAGATGCTCGGGCCCCGCCACGCCAGGCGCTTCTTAAGTTGTCGCTGACTCGAGTAGGCCTACTGCACTGGCACAATTTTTATATTCACACTGGAAGAACCAGCTCAGAAAAGATTTATATCTTCTGAAAAAAAGAAAAAACAGTTCTTCTATTCGGACAGAACAACCTCCCAAGATTTCTTCAACTACAATTGCCTCATTCTATCTGTCCGCGATAATGAGCTGTAGATATACAGGGCTTAGTTATCCAGAAAGTAACGGTATTCAAGGAACGCCGTTACTTGCGCTGCGTTTCGTCAACGCTTCCATGGCACCAATGGCGTAACGCGATGTTCATGAGAGCCAAAAAGAAGCCAACCCGCTTTTTAACACGTAGCGCTAAGGAGCTCGTGGCGAAGAAAAGCCGGCGTCGGTGGCGTCGCGACGGAAAGCTTCTGATTGGTGGATAGGGTCATGACGTCAAAGCCACATGACCTCGCGCGGGAATGTCAAGCAACCCACAACGCTCAAGTGAACGTCACGTGCAGAATGAAAGTGATTAAAAACATGACATGTAATGCGAATTCACTTTATCAAGTTATTTTAGGCGAGACTCGAACCCTTCGGTTGCGAGCCAGGCACGCTACACACTAGACCATGTCCGCCGCCCTTTCTGCTCACTGGCAGGAAGAGCATGAGAAGTGAATGAGAGGGCGATGCCAACGGGGCCCGGTATCGCTATCGCGTCTCACTCTTTAAATGCAAATTTTAGAGCCGTGTATAGAGAGAGTTTGGTCAATGAGAGGTGCGGGCAAAGCCAGGGCGTCCACCAGACTCGGAAAAAGGGCCTTGCATACTCTTTTGAGCAACCAGAAGTCGAAAGGAATTCCATAGCGGTGGTAGCAAGAACCAGTTCTGTTCCAAAGTATATGTTCCTATATGGTTTTAATAAGCGCGTCAGACTGAAGCATAGTAACTCTTTGTGGTTGAAACTAGGGTGCACGTGATGTTTCGATCATGATCATGCAGAAAGATGTAAGAAACGAATGCGCCGCTCAACTCTGTTTTGCTCGGACAGCGTGTGACCGCTCGGACGGCAGATTCCGGGCACTCGGCTCTTGGCATAAGGATTATGTCGATCGTTCTGCTAGTTGCACTCTTCCATTGTTATATATGGCACACGTGATTGAAACATCACGTGTGGCATATTTTCAGTCACCGAGAGTTTCTTCGACGCACTTATCAGGTTTGCTTCTCGTGACCACCGCCAGGGTATTATTTCCGGCTTCTCGTTGGCCATATTCGAATTTCTGAAAACACCCTGGAACATGCCCAGCCCGCTTTCGGCCAATGGTGCCTCATCATTTGTCTCCTATACTTCCCAACGGATGGCCAGACTCTCTATATTTACGGCTCTGGCAAAGCTTAAGCGTCCTCCTAGTTTTCCCACATAAGGCGTGGGCACTGCACGCGCACAGAGACCAGATTCGCATGAGGTGAAGTATCTACGCATGCGCCGTGATGACAGCCGCGCTACCGTAGCCGCGTGGCGTTAGACAGTTGAGCTGGTTATAACGCCGGCATGTAAAGTCTTGAAGGGGTACTCCGACGTTTTCTTCGTGGTCCTCGATTTGCCTGAACATTTACTAAACACACCAACGGACATTGATAAACTAGCAACCAAATATTAGGCCTAAATAGTTTATTTTTCGCGGGGTTATTGAATTTACCATTTTGGTCCTCACCGTGTTTTTTTTAAAAAACTGAAAGTCTCTACTAGCTGGCAACAATGAAAAATTGACGCCAGAGACAGCCAAGGAGTTCTCTCCTTGGAATGTATAGACTTCGTTCCCAACTGATTACAAGCCGTTTAATGGTGTGAAATGGAGGCTTTGGAAGCTTGCTTTATAGCACCCGCGCAGCAGAACAAAATAAGTGACCGGCATATAATTCATTTTTTAGACTGCCTTCTTGACCTGCGAGTAAGCATGCCATTGACGTCACGGCACTAAAAAGTGGGACTATATTTAAATGTTGGTTTCGGCATCGTTTTCATTTGCTGATTTCACAATAACTGTTCTGAATTTCAAGAGACTAAATAGCATACTGAAAAGGGTAAAGATTGTGGATTCAGTACTCGACCAGACGAAATCGGGTGCATAAACAAGGATTAACACGGACTGAACAGAAAAACACGGGTCTACCCATCGAGACACATGAGGAGAAAAGATTCGGTTGCACCAGACACACAACCCGAGAACAAAACAGATGGCGAACAACGACACCAGACCAGACAGGAAGCAAATACAAACGCTAGGAGAAGCGCCGAAACCTTAGCACAAGGGCCGAGCATCAAAATGGCAAGTCGGGCACGGGCACTGATAGGGGCAGACAAGCTTACACTGCGCCAAGCCTAAAAACTACAAACAAAAGTCTGCCGCCTACGAAACACGCGAAGTGCATTGGCTTTTGGTCGTTTTGAGACTGCAGTCGAGAACACTTAGTTGGAAGGCAATACGCTGCGCTAATGTGTTCCAACGCGCCAACGGAGGAGCCGTGAAAAGGACAAATGTCGTCACCAAGGCACTCATACCTTTTTTTTTTTTTACATTGCCTTGCTTATACGAGGTCAAACAAAACAAAACATGACCGAAAGTGTCCCTCGACGGCACAAATATGTCGTGCCATGTTTGCAGAGTACCGTCCATCCCAAGACCGCTGTGTCCTTGCCTTAAGCGTACATTGTTCCTAAAGAACCCCTAAAAAGAAAAAAAAAAGTTTTTTTTTCAGGTTAATTGAGGCACGCGTGTTAAAAATTAATCTTACGCGAAAATAAAAATTAGAGCAATGTTGACTGCGCGAGACGGGATTTAGTCGGTAGTCTCCTCTTTTCCACTTGTTTTCTCTCTCGGCATTTCGGGCGCGTGGAGGAGGGGTGGTCCGGCTTGGCCATCACATTGATGTGGAAAGAGTGAATGTCCTTTCCGTGACATCATGGAGTTTGCCCGCAGAATTTAAAATAAATCTCGGACCGTCAATATTGCTCTAAATTTTTGTTTTCGCGTAAAATTAATTTTTTTGACACGAGTGTCCCAAGCAGACTGTAAAAGAAAAAAAATATAGGCTCATAGTCTAAGAACTGATTTTTCACTTCGTTTTAAATTTGTGTTTTTTTATGAGCGGACATGTCTGCCTCTTTGATTTGATGTCATCATATGATGATTACCTTATTTAATCAACTAAGACAGTCATGACGACCTAAACATCGGCGCTAGCGGAACAGAAAAAAAGCCCCTATACTTCATCTCACCTTAGCACGGACTAACTGCGAAAGCTGTACAAGCGCGAGCGGCTATAGCTTCGACTGCCTTGACTGGAACACTCGCTGCACGAGCGCTCGTGCAGTCGCCGAGGCTTCATCCAAAGCAACTAGCTCGGGCTTTTGGCACGCGCGGTTAACAATAGTCCATGCTAAGGTGAGACGAAGTATAGAGGTCTTTAGACACAGACATGATCTCGTGCTTAGCGGCACTGATGGCAGAAGGTATACAGCACATCGCTCATTCAACATGTATCTATAAAGCTACAGTCAGACTGGTCATCATCATACAAAAGACAGGTTATTCGCTGTAGATATGATATGACAGAATTATCTGCGAACACGTCTCAAGCATATGTTCGAAGCATGTTTGGTTCACACATATGTATGTTTGTAACATGTCTGGAGACAGTTTTCTTGTGACTTCATGACAGGACCGCCATACCAGGACGAACCACGTCTCAGACAGTGTCTGCTTTTTGTATGATATATATTAGTAGTGTAAACCGCTGCTTTAGGACTATCCTAGCAACCTAAGACACGCTGATAGCGGAGTAAAGAGCCCCTATAGATGTATCCAGAAACGGATAGGATTCTGTGGTTAGCAGCATATGGAAGCGGAAAGAAGAGGACACCACGCATTCCTAAATGCATGTAAGACATTTCTTATCCTCCCTATATTGGACGCCTTCCTCTTTGCGTTATGCTAGACAAACGCAGGCGGCCAGGAACACGTTGAAAATCGGAAGCACCGTGGTCGGACATAAAGAGAGAGAAAAAAAAAATAAAGGCCGACTAATCAATGAAGATGTTAAAACCGACAACTTCATCCATCAGGAGCAGGCGGCCTCTAGGAAATTTAGTGTGCCGAAAGAAGACGAAGAAAAAAAAAACACCGAAACGAAAGTTCGTGATAAAGAAGCGAGTGGTCTTCGGAAGCTCTCAAAAGGCCTGCGGGCTCGTTACGGATGAGTCGCGTTCTTATTTCTGCCTCGCGCCATCATCGGGTTCGTTCTAACAAGCTCTCCCACTTGTCAGGGCACCCTCCTTCCTTATACCCGCTTGCCCTTATGGAACTTTTTTTCGTCTCTCGCGCTCTTCTTGTTTTTGTC